TTACCTGTTGTTTTGTCTGTACAGCACTTTGGTTGGCCTTGTAGCTGTTTTAAGTGCTTTATAAATAAAGTGGTATGGTATGTTCTCTCATAAAAATCTGAAGAGGAACTAGAGAAACCACATTTTCGGCAAAACTGCTGAGCGCATGTTGACTGACAGCTGAAATTTGTCAAATATTGAATTAACGTTTTTTTTTTTTTAAGTTAAAACAAGCAGAACAGTTAAAGCTGAATTTGCAACACAGTAGCTAAAAGCTAAAAAGAAAATAAACAACAAAAAGTAAGTAGCCTATTCAAAGGGAACAGTGTTTTTGAAGGAAATGAAAATGCCTTAGTGTCTTAAGGCAATTTTTTTGTAAATAATGTTAAACAATTAAAAAAATTATAAAAGTTACAGCACATTATCCTACAATTCCTAGTCCAGACAAATGTTTTGACATATACAGGTACGTCTAAAAAAAGATTTGAATATTGTGAAACAGTTCAATATTTTTATCAGTCACTTCAGAAAGTGAAACTCATAAATTTATAGATTCATTTCACACAGAGTGAAACATTTCAAACCTTATTTCTTGTCATTTTGATGGACAAACATTAAAAAAAAAAAATCTAAATTTGGTGTCTCAGACAATTAGAATGTTGTGAAGAGGTTCAATATTGGAAACTCATGCACAGACAGATCCTGGACATGAGCTACAAACGTCTCATTCCTCAAGTCCAGCCACTCCTGAACCAGATAAGCATCTCGCCTGCCGAGGAGACAAAGAACTGGACTGTTGCTCAGTGGTCCAATGTTCTCTTTTCAGATAAAAGTAAAGTTTGTGTCATTTGGAAATAAAGGTCTCAGAGTCTGGAGGAAGAGTAGCGAGGCCCAGAATTCACATTGCTTGAAGTCCAGAGTGAAGTTTCCACAGCCAGTGATGGTTTGGGCCATGTCTTCTGCTGGTGTTGGTCCACTGGGTTTTCTGAAGTCCTCAGTCCTGGTAAAATGCTTCTGACATTGTCTCTGGTTTTGTAGCTCGTGATTCATCTGTGCATAGTGTGCATGAGTTTCCAATATGGATCTTTATCACAAAGTTCAAATGTTTTGAGCATTTTGGGTTTTAATTATCTGTAAGCGTAATCATCAAAATTAGAAGAAATAAAGACTTAAAATATGAAACTTTCAGAAATGACTGATTAAAAAAACTTTTTCTACTGTATTTCAATTTTTTTTTAGATGTACCTGTATAGGTTAACACTGTGTGCAAGTAATTTGACTGAAACACAACAACAAAATCAAGCAAGCAAACAAATGGAAGAATCTATAAACAGGAAAACAATAGTGTGACTGCTGACTCAGCATTCTCACCAAAAACACCACATTCACAGAGCTCCATTTATTGTTGTTGTTTATTTATAATCATGCAATAATAAATACAAGTAGTTTTAAAGGGTCACATGGTGATAAACTCGATGAAATATTTTAGTTATACCAGACGGATTCTGCATTTTCAGACGTGCACAGAGGAAACAAAATCTAGACGTTCATACGGGACTGTAGTCAGTTGGACACTTTTCAGCAGATTTTTTACAAATAAAGACAAAAAACAAGGATCAAACCAGAATTTATAGATAAATTTACTTTCTTGATTTCAAAAGTCTACTGAATACAAATGTAGTCTTGGTTTGGGACACATTTTGTATCTAAAAAATGTTTAGATGAAAATGAGCCGAATCCTGTTTCCGATGTTCTGTATCTGTTCGCTCTCTCATAATACCTTATTATATTTCTTCATCTCATTCATCCAGCTGCTTTTGAAAACAGACTGAATTTAATTAAAGCTGAAACATTCTCTTTGCCTTAAAGCGTTCACGAGAGCCATGCACGGAAAACAACACGATGCGTGATTATAAATTTAAATTGATCTTGTGTCCCACCACTCAGCCTGTGCAGAGGGTCGAGCACTTTGTGTCATAATATCCACTAATGCTCGATGTGTGGGTGAGTAACACCAGATCCGAGGATGGATCTGGCGCCCTCTTCACCAAACCTCTTCAGATGCTAAGAAGCCTGCTGGAGCCACCCTCCACCTCCTGTGGAGACTAAACATGGGATGTAAACAGAAGCAGAACACCGTTTTACAAGTGATACATTAACTGAAGTACAAATACATAAAATGGATGTGTTTTCTTATATATATTGACAAACAGAAAACAAAGTAAAATCAATGCACTCTGATAGCGCTACATGAAATGTTTCTTTATAATGTGATAAAAGCGACGTTTGAGCTTATCTGGCTGCCTGGGTGCAGAAGAAGATGGAACTGAGGCACTGATGGAGCCTTGTGCTTCTCCTCTGATTAAGCTCTCCTTACGCTGTGGCTCTGCTGAGTCTTTGAGCTTCTTCTTAGCTCCTGACAGGTGGGAGCAGCTGCCTTTGATGCCTTCAGCGGAGCATGAAGCCTTGTGGTCGCTGTTTAAACGGCGTAACCCAGCCTGGCAGAGGAGTGCCTCCTCGCTCGCCATTTGAGGGCTCTGGCTCAAGGTGACAAAGCCGTACGATGTGGTCACTTTGGTGAGGTGTGGCAGGGAGAGGGCAGCCTTACTCTCAGGATCCAGACAGTGCTGGGGGTCTTTGAACGGACAGGGAAGGTGCACCTCCCTCTGAAGGACTGATCTTCTCTTGGTTAAGGGGTCTGAAACACAACGCTCAGCTTTGCGGTTTGTTGGAACCAGACTGGAGCAGGAGGATGATGAAGATGAAGAGATGGTAGTGTGAGCTGGAGAAACAAACACCCCACGTTCCCTCCTAGAACTCCTCAAGTCTCCTTCTGACTTGTTGTCCTCTGTCTCCTGGTCAAGTGATCTTAAGCTGGTCTGCACGGACAGGTTTGGTATAGTGAACTGCGGGATGCTGTAGGGAGTCAGGATATTTGAAAATATGTTCTCACGGCTCGTCTGGAAGTCTGATGAACACCCGAAGGACTTTGTGCTGCCAGTAGTCCACAGCAGAGCTCGGACCCCTGCACTGCTGTGCCTGCGAGCTGTGGAAAAATCACCTGAAGTTTTGGTTCCACTGCAGAGTCCACCAAAGCTGATCGTTCTGGTGACCGGATGCTTATCCATTCTTAAGACGTCTTCCACTTGTTTTCCACACAAGCTTGGTTGTAGCTTGACCAGAAGTGAATAAATGAGTTGCTTTTATACCTTTCTACTGCCCACGTGTAGTGCTCCTCCAAACGCATGAAAGGATACAGGAACTGAAGCCGGAAACTGATACCAATTAGGGAGCTTGTTTAATATGGAAGCATAATGAAGGGCTTCTCTCTTAAAGCTCTTCATATGCAAAGGAGCAGACATCAACAACATCTCTCTGCCTCTCAGGGCCCGTGGTAATGTGACAACAGCTGTCTGATGTAAACCCAGAAGACGTCTTATGAGTACATGTTTTGAACCAGTTTTTCATTTAAGATACACAAATTGGTTGTGTCAGGGTTATAAGTTCAAAAATAAAAGGTTTTGCTTAGTTCTTGTTTAGATACTATGCAAAAAAAAATGTAAAAAGGTGCAAAATCACAAGTAAAAGGACTTGTCATAAGATGTTAAGTAAGTGACAAGTGAACATTGCTTAATTCTTGCTTGCTTTGTTGCGGTGAACAGTGGTTTAGCACAGACACACTTCCAGGCATGCATCACACACAGAACGGGGCTCATGCTGAGGAGAAGTTTGGAAATGAATTCAGCAGAAGTTTACAAAACAGACAAAATGCACTTTTAACTTCTCTGTGCGCTGTGACCTTGCACATTTCACCAAAAGGACTTTCTTATCTGATGAATATTTCTTAAGTTGCAAAATTTTGTCATGTATATATATATATATATATATATATATATATATATATGTGTGTGTGTGTGTGTGTGTGTGTGTGTGTGTGATAGAGAGATAGAGAGATAGAGAGAGAGGACCAACTTGCTGAGTGACAAATATATAACAATGCTTAATATTTTTTCCTGTTTGCAGCTAGTAGAAGCAGCACAGCGCTAATGGAATAAATTATAAGATTATGCTAATGTAAGTTTATGTTGAAACTGTAGTTGTCAACTCAGATCATATATTTTATTTAAATAAAACATTGTTGTCTTATAGCCTGTTGTGAAATATTCAAGATATATTTCTAGTTATTAATTAGATTAGTGCAACATTAGATGTGGAGTTGTGTTTTCATTTGCATGAGGTAAACAGAGTGTTAGCAAAATAAATTATTAGCGCATTGTTTTCTGTAAATAGCATTTTTATTGGCAAGCACTGTTACAAAGTTTTGTATGTTTGGCTGATTTAATATTTGCCTCTTAAAAAAAAGATATAAAAAAAAACTTATACTTTAACAAACCGTGCAACAGAAAAAGTAATGTTGTTGGTGGTTTTTGGTCCCATCGTTGATATTTCAGACCTAGACTGACTGAACGGAAGACTTTTAAAACATTTACTGAATTGTGTCCTGCCCTGAAATGACACATGAACTGGTGTAACAAAACAATAAAACAATAAATCAAATTAATAAAATTCATCTAATGACAACTGCAAACTGAAGCCAAACCAGATAACAGAGGTTCTCCTAAACTTACAGACAAATAAAATCTTTAGAGGTAATGCTCTAAAAGTTGGCATTCATTTTCATTCAAAACTTTTTAGTTATAGCCTTTGTCTTTGTTACAGTAATTGTTATTGTTTTGGTTAAATATGAACAACCAGATAATAAAATAGCAAAAACAAATATCTGTAATTACATTATGTTGCTCGACTTGCACATTGCGAATGGGATTTCTATCACTTCATAGCAACATCAGCAGCATATTATGTAAAGTTTATTGACCATAATATTTGTTTTATATTTAAACTGGGCTCAGCTCTGCCTGCACTGGAGCCCACACTGTCAGACCCTGCTCTGTGTGACTTAATTGACAGGCTCTCCTGATTGGTCCGCGCTGATTGAGCCAGGTGCGTTCCTCCGCGCTCATTACCAACATCCGGGTACTCAGCTCTTCGTCTTCCAGGAGCAGAGCACCTGTCGGGTTGGGGCGCTGGCACCGAGATGTCTGAAAGCAGCAGAGAGGTTGTAGAGCAGGAGTCGACAGAAAACACCGAGGTAAACATTAACTGGGCTGTTTTTGTCCGGTTAAAGACATGTCTGTGTTCATGGTTTGTGTCTCCACCTGCAGGGCGGAGTGTTGTCGAGGGACGGTGTGTTTCGCTCCTTGCTGCGCGGCCTCTTCTGGCCTTTCAGCGTCGTGGTATGTAGCCGTACAAAAGCTGACATGTTGGCTTTTCGTTTTTAAGCAACGAGTTAACGCTGCTCTCACGCGCAGGTGAGGGTCTTCCTAAGGTTTTGGGGGCTGTTGGGGTTTTGGAAGCCTCAGGAGAGAGTCCTCCCCGGCCCCCTGACCTCCAGCCCTAATCGTCCTAGCTTCATCGCCCGCAAGCGCGTGCGGTGGGTGAGCCGGGTGGTGCTGCTCATCCTGCCCCGCAGCGTGCAGGGCGCCCTGGGGTACCACGTGTCTGGCAGCATTGGTCAATCCCTATCCCCAGGTACTATTGCTCATGCTCAAATCAGTATTTAGCAATGCATTGTGGCCTAGATCTATTCATGCCTACATTCAGCTGGTTGGTTCGCAGCAGCACGGTTGCCTCACAGCAAGAAGGTCGTGAGTTCAATCCCCGGTTGGACCAGGAGTCTGTGTGGAGTTTGCATGCTCTTGTGTTTGTGTGGGTTTTCTCTGGGTACTCCGGTTTCCTCCCACAGACTAAAAGCATGCATGTTGGGCTGCCTTCAGGTCCAGACCTCCCTTGCAAAAGAGATGTGATCTCAATGGGATTTGCCTGGTTAAATAAAGGTTAATAAATAAATACTCTTGGCTTAGTCTAAGCAGTGTTCATATACTGTACATGGATGTTTGTGCTTTAACACTGCACATTAGACATTTTACTATAGATATGTAAAATGCACCCAAAAACAAATTTGATAATGTTTTACGAGTCAAAAATGGGTTTAAAGGATCAAGACTTTCAGTAAGTCAAACACCTTTATTAGAAATTACAATTTTTATTTTTATTTTTATTTTTTAAGATGCAATACCTGAATTTATGTATGCACGTTAGTAACTGTTCATGGGCTTGATTTAAGTTTGTTTTGACACTAGTGTTTCCAAATTTAGTGTTTATGCATGGGAAACAACTGGGATGTGGAACTGAGATTGCTTTTGTTTAGCAATTGCATTTAAACAAAATGCTAACACACTTAAGCTAAAACAAAAACATGTAAGACTAAGCCAGCAAGACTGTTGTCTGACACTAGCAACCTTATCCATTTAATGACCTTGACACGTGTTGTGTGAACTTCTTCCCAACAGAAATCAGTGCGTCTCCTACGAAGCTAAATGGAAAGGGCAGCAAGAGGAAACAGGATGATTTGTACAAGGATGACTCTAAAGACGAAGAACATCCAACTTGGGTGAAAGTGCTGTCTACAGAATGTCCGGATGATGAAGACTCAGAGGAAGACCCTGATTATGAGGTTGCTACAAAATATTTGTGCTCCCGAGTCCAACAAATTAAAACATGACATTGGCACTTTATTTTTCCAGTCTTTTATTCTGGAGCTCATGCAGTCAAATCTTCTAAATCACAAAGGGATCAGTTTCCTGACAACTTCAGAGCTTTGCAGCAGTTGAGTAAAAGTTTCTCACAGTCCTACAATCTGACGCTTCATCTCTCATGTTTTCAGCAGCCCAGTCCGGTGGAAACTGAAAGTGAAGAATACGCCTCTCAAAACGACACAGAAAGTGAGCTTCAGACTTCACGTGGAGAGGATGTCAACATGGTAAGACTGGAACATTGTGAATGCCTGGTAATGAAAATGTGGCATTAATTGGCCTTTCTGTTTATAGGTTGCTGCTGCAGCCTCTTGTCCTAAATAATTGTATGTTTATACTTTTGATAATTCAATAAAACTTTATATTCTTGAAATTGATTTGCCACTAGATGGCAGTGATTCATTTTAAATGTGATTGGGGGGGGGGAGGAAACTAAAAATAAAATGCCATCTGTAAATTGAAAATGCATTCGGGTTAAGCATAAATGACTCGTTCAAAAATTGACTGTTTTGCACAATGGTCTGTACCTGCTTTGGCATGACTATTGAAACTAATACAAATGATGTGTACGACCTTTGTCCGTTTGTCAATACAAGTACGAAGCTGTTGTCTGCAGGTGTGGGTCCATGTGGCCCTGTGAATGATGGCTTATTATCTTTCTCCCTCTGCTGCACGGTTGTACTTCTCTCCAGGTTTGCAGAGTGCAAAGCTATTACTGTAGTGGGTGGCAGGCCACTGACGAACCTTATGAACCAGAACTTTGTATTCAGCCTCTTCGCTCCACACGGTGTTCTTGTTCTCTAATTCAAAGAAATATAAGCATGGTTTATTTAGCGCCAAGTCACAATCGTAGTCTCAAGGCACTGTACAAAAACAGACATTATTAATGTTATTAAGAAGCCAATAAATGTTGAATCTTCACTTCAGTCTCCCATCCTGAGCAAGCCCAAAGGCAACTGTGGAAATGGAAAAACTCCTTAACAGGAGGAAACCTCCAACAGAACCAGGTTCAGGACGAGCAGCCATCTGCTTCAATCAGCTGGGGTTGAGAGGTGACCGGAAGGAGAAACGACAGACTGGCAGGTCCAGGTGAACTCTATTGGAGGAAGGAAAAAAACAAAACAAAAACAAACGTTAAGACAAATATTTACAAATGTAAACTGTTGGAGCAAGTAAAGACGGCAGCAGTGAAGACGTGGTCAGTTTGTCCAGCAGTATAAACCTATAAAATTCAATTTCAATTCAGTATTTATATAGCACCAAGTCTCAAGTTGTCTCGAGGCACTGAACAGAAATATTCATATATAAAACAAGTTAACATTCATATTTAAACACTATCGGAGCAGCAGACTTTGTCTTTCATTGGTGGGATGAAATATGCTAATTTTTTGGGACAGGCATTTTGTGTTTTCATGAGCTGTATGCCATAATCATCAGTATTAAAACAATTAAAGACCTGAAATATTTCAGTTGGTGTGCAATGAATCTGAAATATATGAGTTTCATTTTTATCATTACATTATGGAAAATAATGACCTTTATCTCAATATGCAAATTTTTTTAGAAGGACCTGTATTTGACTAGATAAATTTTTAGAAGGAATTGTTGCACTGCTGTGCACAGCCTGGAAAACCAGAAAACATTCTAACAAATGTGTTGGAAGGTGTAACTTTGTTTTTCTTGACAAGTTACACCCCCCCCCCCCCCACCCCCAAGCACTTGATCTAAACTTTTCCACCTCAAGTGCTTAAGACAAAAGGCACACTTTTTTTATTTTTATTTTTTAAAATACAATTTTTGTCCTGAAGTTGTAAAATGGTGGTCCTTGAGGGCTACGATCAGCACGATTTTAGATGTTTCTGCTTCTACACCTGATTTGACGGTGTAGTTGAAAGTTCAGCCGAACTTAAAAAATAAATAAATAAACTGGTCTTTGAAGACTACTGTTTTGAAAGTGTGACAGTACTTTCATTTTTATACTTTTCAAATATTAAAAACAAAAAAAAAAAAAAAAAAAAAACTGGGAATCCCATCTAGAAACAAGTATTTATTGGTGATAAAGCAGTGAACTGAGAGGAAAATGGGTCAGCTTTAAGAGGAGGAAACACAAAATGAAGACTCGCAATATGCTATCCTGTAAAGCATGGCTACTTGTCATGGCTTTATTTAAAGAAATCTGCAGCGTAAAGCTGGATTAGATTACTAAAGGTCAAATCTATGGTGTTTTGCACTGCAGCCTGAGCATGTTCTATCTCAATGTGTTGCATGCTTTAGTGTAATTTGTACATAGTTTTCTGGGTACTTTCAAAGATCTCATTTACTCAACCAAAGTATTTGGTAAAACCAAAGATATTGTGCTTTAAACATATTTAAACAGGTAGGATTACTGAAGTTGATGGCTGTAGCAATTTTCTGACCCATCGAGCAACTTATCTGTGGCTGACTGAATAAATTCACAATGACTGCTTCATTGAGAACCAACTGTCAGCTCGAAGTAGGGGTCTGATAATTTGAATAAATAATTGCACACAGAGATGCAAATCAATTTGCTTGCTGTTTGCCACATCTGTTGCAAAAACACGATTTAAACGCCTCAAAGAAATGGAGTGGATGGGTACGTCTTCATCAAACGTCAGTATCCGTTTCATTTCACTGCACAGCTGTTCTGCAGACGTCTACATTAATTTGTCTAACGTAGTATATGAGGTACTTGGGAAGAGACATCATTCAGCAACCAATTCTTTTTGGTCATTGTCAACATCCAGCTGTCTTCTCTTAATTCCTTGAAACTCTTTATTTTGTATTTTGTGACTTCCTATTTTTCTGTTTTGAACCTTCTAAATGTTCTCTTGAGCTGAATGCTTCAAATTAAATGTTTTCAAAGAGCAGCTGCAGTGAAAGCTGGATCCAAAAGAGGAACTGATGGTCTCTGGGGCATTCTCATGGCTGTCTGAATGTTTGAAGGGTAGCCCACTCTGCAGAAGCAGCAGCAGAGAGCATAAACCTCCATTTTGTGGAGGCCACACAAACTGAATCCCCGTTTTTATATATTTTTAAACAAATCTCTGCCTTTTGCTTTCCAGGTGTAAGATAAAAACATGATTCCTTGACGAGTCACAATTTCTAAGAGGCTTTTTGCCTCATGCAAAGAAAGTGGTATAGATAATTTTCTGCAGTGGATTTCTGCACGTTAAGGAATTCAGTGCACTTTCGTTGCACACTGGACACTTGAATGTTAAAAGGTTTTTTAATTAAAAAAAAAAAAAATTTTTAATTTTTTTTTTTTTTTTTTTTGCAAGTTGCCTGATTCATGTGGACACTTCAAGTGTTGATGTAGCACAGATGGTTATAAAAACCTTCCTGACACGTACACATGCACACCCAGAGGCACAGCTAGGACTTGGTGACATGGGCTTATTGTCGCCTCAAATGAATGGCAGCAGGTGCCGGCTGTTCCCGGGTCAGACCTGCAGGCTGCTGCGTGCTGCATCACAATGTGACTGTAGCGTCGGCTTGCTCCAACTCTCTCCTGCCTTTTACTGTTCAGCTGTAACACCTTGCTGTCCCTTGGCGACCCTTCGGCACACTCATGCGGTGTGATTCACCTTACCTGTGGCCTGATGACTCTGTCCCCGCAGACTTTAAGAGCATCCATCACCTTCAGAGAAACTGAGCACGTAAACGGGCATGGAAAGTAAAGCGGCGGTCTGTTAGTCATACACCCTAATGCTGTGGATGAGGACACTTCTGAAACTATCGGAGTGGAAGAGAAGCAGTTTGTTTAAACTGGTAATTTTGAGAGAAGGGAAGATGGAACTAATGGTGGATCAGCAATTTTCTGCACAGGGCCCTGTTCCTGAAGATCATGTGACAAATTGTTTTAAGGAGCACAATAAATTTAAAGTTTAAAATGTGAGTTTAGATATATTTTATTTTTTTTAAACAGAGGTTCTGTGAAAAGGTTTTGATTAATTGTCTTGCCTGTTTTAGATATCTCTGAAAAATGGCAAGAGAGTTTAATTCTGACCAGACTGAGCTAACATTAGTCAGAAGATGCTATCTTCCTAGGCTGAAGCACTGAACTGTGGAGAGAAAAAACTAATTTTCACTTGGAATCACGCAAACAATTAAACAAATTGCATTATGAATGCATCCAGTTTTTGTTACTACTTTATTGAATTTTCCTACGTTTTTTTCTACATTACTAAAAAAATATTGTAAAGCAAATCCAAAAAACTTCAATCTGGTCCTCTGGACATTAAAAAAAAAAAAAGTCAAAAAAATGTAGAAACGTTTCGTCTCTCCGAGAGACTTCCTCAGTCTGAGGTGCTGTATTCAGCTCAGTCTCTTAAATAGCACCTTCTCAGAGTGGATAAACCAGTTTGCTGCTGACAACCAAAACCAGCTGCTCACATGGTCAAGAAGGACCATCAGCCTAACAATGGATCATTAGCACACTGATGGCTGTTTGCTAGTATCACTCAACCCCCTGTGAATAGTAATCACAGCATTGTAAGAGGGGGACAGTTGAACCCGGAGGCCTCCACCCCTGTTTAATGATGGATGATTTATTTTCACAAAGATGGGATGGCCCAGCACAAAAGATCAACATCATCAGGCCAGGATTCTGCGGTCTACTCATCTCCAGGCCAGCGGTCACTCTTTCAGGGATGATGTTCACATCCTGGACAGAGAGGAACGATGGTTTGAGAGAGGAGTAAAAGAGGCCATCTTTGTGAAAAGAAATTGTCCATCATTAAACAGGGGTGGAGGCCTCCGGGTTCAATTGTCCCCCTCTTACAATGCTGTGATTGCTAGTATCACTCAGCCCTCTGTGAATAGTAAACAGCCATCAGTGTGCTAATGATCCATTGTTAGGCTGATGGTCCTCCTTGACCATGTGAGCAGCTGGTTTTGGTTGTCAGCAGCAAACTGGTTTATCCACTCTGAGAAGGTGCTATTTAAGAGACTGAGCTGAATACAGCACCTCAGACTGGGGAAGTGTCTTGGATGAGAGACGAAACGTTTCTACATTTTTTTGTTGTTTTGCTTTGTTTTGTTTTTTATTTTTTTGAATGTCCAGAGGATCAAATTGAATTTTTTTGGATTTTTCTACCTGGATTATTGCGCATGCATCAGGATATTGTAAAGCAACATTTTTTTTTAACCTCCCGAGATCCTTTGTCCACATATGGGAACATTAAATTTTGGCTTTGCTGTACTTTATACTTCACCATGTTAATGTTGTTGTGTTATGCTGTAAAATAAGCCCATTGTCCCCATCTGAGGACTTAAAAAAAATAAAATTAAAAAAGTCAGTCATAACCATGTAACAAAATACAACTTCCTGTTCGAAGAGGAAGCTTTATTTATACACCTCAGGTCCATCTAATCACAAATATCTAGGAGATATGAAAACTGCATCGCAAACCAGAGCTTGGTTTCAGGAGGTTAAATGAAAACAGAAAATTATTTACCATCACTTCATGCACCTTTTTATTTTGCAAATTCAAACGATGCATTCAGTTAAAAGTACAGCTTTTCATACATTACAGAAAAAAAAAACCATGGCAATTCACAAAATGCAGCTCTGGAGCAACATAAACAAATAACTAAAATGTACTTTTAATATTTTAATTATCTTGCTCATGTCTGCAATCAAATCCTTTGACACCTTTTTATGATGCTACTCTGAGCTGCAGACCAAAGACATGTAGCGAGCAGTGAAGGTGTGGAGTACAGCTGAGATGATGCTGTCAGTTCAGGAGCTCCCTTAGACGGCTTCTAAATCTTAATTCACAAGCGGGAGCTGCTGCTGCAAAGACCGATTCCTCCTCTGTCTGTGACCTTTGACACTCTTTGCTCACAGCAGCTGAGGGAGTCCCAGCAGCTTTGGTTTGCAACAAGCAGAATGCATTAGTTTTGGACAACAAATTCAACTGGGAGGCTGTTGTAAACTCAAAATGGTGCATTAAAGATTG